GTGACTTTTAGGGGTCTATTCACAAAGCTGCCGTAAGCAGCCAAGTGAATAACCGACCCGAATGAAGTAAGCCGAACACTGCTACTCGCTGCTGTTCGGCCTATTCTCATAGATGCCAAACAGCAGTGAGTGAATAGCCGAATGCCGCCGAGCGGCATTCTGCTTGGTACCTCTGTGGTACGGAGCAGAATAGAAAAACAGTTAAAAGAGTAGAAAAAATCAAATAGAAAACAATTGGGAGGCGCTATCAGTGACAGCTAGCTCCACCCTACTGTTTTCTATTGACCCGGCAGTTCTGCTGCCGTCAGAATAAAAAAAAAGAAGGAAAAAAAAAACCACCATAGGAATGCATAGCTAGATTCCTATTGGCTATTTCACTTTGCAATAGCAAACTAGCTATTGCAATAGCTAGTTTGCTATTGGCTATTGCAAATTAAAATAGCCAATAGGAATGTAGCTATGCATTCCTATGCTGTGTTTTTGTTTTGTTTTTTTATTCTGACGGCAGCCAGCGGCTCCGATGTCAGAAAAAGACAACAGAGCAGGGAGAGGGTTACTCTGCTCGATCGAGCAGAGTAAAACTTTCTGGTAGAAAGTGTTTCTCTCCCGGGCGGCCGGGAGCCGTTATCTAATAGCGGGAGACTCCGGGAGCGCCCGGGAGAGTTGGGCTGCCTGGAGATCAGCGTCTCTGTTTACCTGGTAAACATGGACGCTGATCTGTCTGTGCAGGTGGCTGGAGCAGGCCGTGAGATGACGGCTGGCTCCGCCCAGCAGTCAGTAGCAGGCTGCTTCGGCTTTCACCGCGGCTCAGTCGAGCCGAAGCATATGCCTTCGGCTCGACTGAGCCCCTCGGCCAACTTCGGGAGCTGTACGGGCTATAGTAAATAGCCCGTATAGCAGCCCTTCGGTTCTACTGAACTGAAGGGGTCCTGGGGCCGAAGGATCAGCCGAAGTCTAGATCCTTTGGCAGCTTTGTGAATAGACCCCTTAATCTCAGAATTCTGACTTTTAAACACATAATTATGTTTCTTTTTTTTTTTTGTTAGCATGGCCCCAGGGCTCTTCCGTATCCGTACGTTAACACCAATCCGCACTTTACTTTGTTTTTTTTATTCTTTTTTTAATTCATTAAAATACCACAAAAACACATTTTATTCAACCCTACGCACCTCAGCGGGTTGTGACAGTGACATGCGGTGCCGTGCACTGTGCTGTGTAATATTTATGCATTTTTATGCAGTGTAACTCGGCACAGTGCTATGCTGTGAACAGGGTACAAAGAAAACAATTATCTTCTGTGTGCCCGTGTTTTGAGCCTGCGTTATGCATATCATTGCAGCTCAACGGACATGGTGTGACTGATCCCTTTCTTACATTTAGCAATCTAGCCTCCTAACCATCAGTCTTTTTTTTTTTTTATGGCATTTCCCGATTTCTGCAGACAATCATCAGATTTACTTTTTCATACATTCACAGACACCCCTCCAATCGAGCACCTATAGTCATCTCATTATATGCCAAAACCTGAGGCGGTATCCTTCAGGTATGGCATGGTCACAGCCTGGGTTATATCCTGGCGTAATTTATCACTATCAATGTACAAAATATAGTGTATAGAAAGGAACATAAAGGCCCAGCATGCCATGATCTCACTGAGACTGAATCTACAGTATGTATACATATATATCCAAATATAATAAGACATGCAGCACTGACTATGAATGCAAAATGCTTTGATCCAGTATGATTTTCATAAAGTACACAAAGACAGTTTCAGACATCCCCAAGCCTACATAAATTCACCTGCGAGCTTGAAAAAGGGCTGGGCATCTGAAACTGTGTTCCTTGAGAACTTTAATAAGAGAATACTGGATTAAAGCATTTTGCATTCATATTGGGTGCTGCATCCCTCATTTAATTTGGATTTATAAATAGTGAGTTTGGTCTGATGAATTCTTTGTGTAACAATGACCCTATTTATGAGGGTGTGTGTTGACAGGATCTAAGCATGTGTTGATGGCTTAAGTTTGATATCAGTCTGCATCAGGTACATTTGACCTGTGGTGAATGTACTTCAAGGGGGTCTTGCATTCCTATAGACTTTTAAGGGTATGCAAAATCTGCTTGAAGAGAACAAAAACCCATTGAATTACACCCTGGGTTCACACCTAGGCGTATCGAATATGCGCGTTTGTGTCGCGCGGTTTAGCGAAGGCTACCTGGCTGTATCCCAATGCATACGCACGGCAAATACGCCCCAAAGAAGCTCCCGTACTTCTTTGGGCGTAGGGCGTTTTGTAGCGCGTTCATACGGCCTGTAATACGCCCAGGTGTGAACCATACCCATAGGAAATAATGGGATTTCGGTGTTCGAGCGTTTTGCAGAGCGTAGGAACGCGCTACAAAACGCCCAGGTGTGTACCGGGCCTCAAGCCTAACTCCAGGAATTACCTTATTCCTCGCTCTGGCAGGCTCCCTCCATGAGGCACCGCCCACAAACGGTATAGTGTGAGTAACACACTGCTTGAACTGAAAATACGATTGTCTATGGAGAGTGCTGAACCTGTGTATTCCATGCAGATTCAGTACTTCTAAGGTAAACCGTCTTTTTGTTTTAATTTAGCTACATTTAGTTAAAGTGTATGTATGGCCAAAATCTTTTTTTAGTTTGAGATAGAGTAGAGGAGGGCTACCACCCTGGTCAGGTTATTTTCTGCTTTCTGTCTCCCTATACGAAGACTTAGCTTTATTCATCTGTCCCAAAGACAAAACAGGAAGTTAGACAGTTGTCACCAGACCCGGTGTCCCTATTGGAAGAAAACTCTCACCTCTTGATCACTTTAAGTTTGTTAATGTGCACCTGTCACAAGAAAAATAGAGAGGTTGTTATTTCTGACCTCTCTTCCTGAAAATCTAGGTGCCCAGCTGTCATGTTGACCCTCTGGTGTCAGCACTTTAGTCACTGACCCAAAACAAGTATGCAGATAAAACATCTGACTTCATGGTCAGCATATTTGTCTGGGCCATTACAACAGCCAGGAACCCAGCATTTTTAGAAGGGGGTCAGTAATGGAAACTCTCTCGATTCTTTATGACAGGTTTACTTTGAGGACCCCTTCACAATGGTGCATATGGTAACATCCGCTGTAGTGTCCTATGGAGCCACCGTTGTGTGTGCCACCGTAGTAAGCTGTGTGTGTCTTCACAAACAGAGACACAGCAAGGCAAGTCACTCTCCCACTCCCTGTTCTCCCCTTATCCAAGCTAGCGAATAGACAGCTGCTGGAGACTGCTCTGTCCTTTGTGATCTTGTACTGAACAGGACCTTCAGGGAAGCAGAGTTGAGAGAGTTGGAGCTGTTTGGAAACATGATGACTGTAAGTGCCTAGGGAAAAATGTAAATAAATACTTGCCTGGGCAATGTAAATATGTTTGATGTGGATATATTATTGAAAATAAGTTTGAGAGTTTAATATTACTTTAGGGCTAATTTACTCCAGCCTCTGCCTAAAATGCACAGCTTGTGGTGTGGTGCCCGACACAGTGCCAATGCGCCCATGCATTGCAGTGGTATGAACCGAGCCCATCCATGCAAGGCAAATTGTCTTGTCTTGTGTTGGGGCTGCTCTGGAAATAACGACAAGTTTGTCATATAATTGTTATGGGCCAGAGATTTTAAAGTATTGAAGCCACATCCATGTTAGTAATGACTGCCTACATACAGTAAACTATCTGTTATCTGGAATTCAACTAACCAGAACTCTCATCTAACCAGAAAAAAAATCCCCTGTTTACTCACAGTTCTGCTGACCTGTGGCATGTATTATCCTGGAAATGATCGTGTGTCTATTTGTCTCATTTTTTTAAGTGTGTTTATTTGCTTTTAATTACTGTATTTCAATATTAACATGTAGTCAATACAGAGTTTATGTTACGGTATGGTATAGTATGGGGTATCGTATTAGTTAGATAGTGACTCTCACGCAACCAGAAACCACATTTATCTGGAATCAAGTAATCCCCATGGATGCCGGATAATGGGGAGTTTACCTAATTTAATTTCTTTTGTCACATCTCCTTTAAGAGGGTCAAGCCATTTTTCTTTTTTTGCAGGTTTCTGTAGATGTGGGAGGAGAAGTCTTTTATTGTAAAATGTCTTCCTCCTTTCTCACAAAGTTACGATCTGAGTTCTGATCTCCTTCTATAGTGATTTGCAGACTGTATGGCACTGGCCCTTTCTGCAGCCCCTATACTCCAGCCAGGGGCGTATCTACCGCAAGGCAAACAAGGCGTTTGCCTTGGGCAGCATTTTCCTGGGGGGTGGCGCCGCCCCCATAACAGTCAGGCGAGCTGGGCTGCACAGGAGGAGGCGTTGAGGAGGAGGCCGCGAGGAGGAGGAGGAGGACGCGTTGAGGAGGAGGCAGAGGAGGTGGGTCCCCGCGTCTTTGGTTGTCGGCTTGGGCAGAGGAGGCGGGTCCCCGTAGATCTGGTCTGGCGGCTTGAGAGGAGGAGGCGGGTCCCTGGAGCTCCGGTCGGAAGCCGGTGTTCTATCAGATGACTGTGATAGAATGTGTGACTGCGTCTGTGACGCGATCGTGCATTCCAACATAATGTATCCGACCTTGTGCTTAGTGCTTGTACTGCACATGTAAAGGGGAGTGGGGTGATTCGCAGACAGTAATATAACTACAGGAGTGTTGGAAATCAGGTCTGGCTGATCGCCTGCTGATTTTAACACTCCTGTAGTTATGTTACTGGCTGTGAATCACCCCACTCTGCTCTACATGTGCAGTACATGCACTATGCTGTGATTAATGTCTGCCCAACTCATGTGACCAGAGGAATGTGAGATCGCACATTCCCCTGCAGTCACAAAGTCGGATACATTATGTTGGAATGCATGACCGGGTCAGCGGCAAGGACGCGGTCACACATTCCTCCACAGTCACAACATCTGACAGTACACCAGGTCCCCTAAGCGGCGGAGAAGGCCAGGTCTCCTAAGCACCGGTCGAGAGGGGGAGAAGGCCAGGTCCCCTAAGCACCAGTCGAGCGGGGGAGAAGGCCAGGTCCCCGAAGCGTTGGTCCGTCGGTGGTGGAGGAGGCCGGGTCCCTGAAGCATCGGCCCGGCGGTGGAAGAGGCCGGTTTCCTGAAGCATCGGTCTGGCGGTGAAGGAGGCCTGGTCCCTGAAGCATCGGTCCAGTGGTGGAGGAGGCCGGAGACCAAGCAGCACTGGTTCAGCGGTGGAGGAGGCCAGGTCCAGCAGCAGCAGGCTCGAGCTGACAGCAGATGTCATCAGGAGGCAGACTGGGGAGCTGCAGGTAAGAGGATCACACTGTGCTGGTATTGGGACCCTGCAGAGCCCAGCATAGATTCTGTACAGCCCACCTAAGAGTCTCAGCGGGGCCTTGCAGGGTCTATGGTGGGCTCTGCAGGGTCTCGGGGGCTGTGCTGGATCTTTGGTTGGGTCTAGGGGGGCTTTGTAGGATCTGTGGTGGGCTCTGCAGGGTCTCAGGTAGGTGCTACAGGATCTATTGTGGGCAGTCCGGGGTCTATGATGGGCTCTGCAGGGTCTCAAGTGGGCTTTGCAGTCTGAGACCCTGCAGAGCCTGAGATCCTATTTTTGTCTTGCCTAGGGCAGCCCCAAACCAGAATACACCACTGCCTCCAGCACATCAAACCTATATACCTGAATCACCTCTGTTCCCTACCCGGGTTTTGAAGGGTTAAACTATACACTCAGCATTACTCAAGTAAATACAGTTAAATATTTCCCCCTTTAATCCGGTTGTCAACAACATACCTAGTGGAAAGAAAGTGTCCTGATAGGGGATTTGTTTTACAGCTACACAACAATGGGACATTTTTTTTCGCATATTTCTTGCCATGTTTTGTTCGAGTACAAATGAAACAGAAAAACTCCCAACCACTGAGAATCACTTTCCATAAATGGGGACTATTGTCCACAATGTGACAGGCCACTTAACATGACAAACTGTTTGCCTATTGTTGCATGCATTTAGTGCAAATGTTTTCACTGAAAGAGCACAGCCTTCCAGCCAGGCATGACAATTCAATTCTCTTAAATATACGAAATTCCTCAAAAGCACAATGTCAATAATGCCAAAAGCTTCTTGAGAAGATTTAACATAGCAGCAGAATTTGAAAGAAGCATGTCTCAGACAAGGGGCACGTAGAAACCTGTGGATATTTCAATTTACACATACATAGATTATTACATCTTATACACAGGAAATCTGGACAAAGCATATGGGTCACTATACAGGACAATACACATATTACAAGCGGAAATGACATTTCATTCTCTCTTTATGTACAATCCATGTACAGACTTGCTATATCATATGTACAAACCTGGAAGTTTAAATGTGTAATGGCTATGAAGAGGTCCAGTATATGGAGCCAATCTGCAAGTGTGACGTCATGATGCCAGCTGATGGGCACAGAAATTACAAAGCAGTGTGTCAAGTTGGCACTCGAGCTGTGACTCCAGTTCCCATGAGGCATCGCAATACTGACAGCCGCAGGCTCATCTCCCAGAGGCTAGGGCATGATGGAATTTGTAGTAGCACTGCAGCTGGTTAGCTGAGATTGCCTACCTCTGCTGTAGGCTATGCTAGTCTTGGGTGGACACTGGTAGACTGAATCACTCCAGCAGCATGATAAGCTAATCAGAGATCTTTACTCTTCCAGCTCCATTATGAAGTCTCATTCTTCTGCTCATAATATGTAAGTAAATTAAATAAAACATGCAACAGCGATAATAAGACCCCTTGCCATGGCTGTAGAAGGCAGGAGAAGGTGCAGCAAGCACTTCACCATTAGAGTAAATCAGGGGTGGGTAACTCCAGCCAGAGTTGCCCACCCCTGGAGTAAACCAACCAACATCTGAATCATTTGGGCTTAGTTGTACTGGCCCTTTGTAGAGTATATGACATTTATTCTGTTGGGTATTACTGGGAACATTTTTTTCTAACTAATGGACCTCTGACATCTGGAGCCTTGACATGGAATTGCACAGCAGTGCCACTGATCTAGATAACGTCCAACTAATTGCCCTCTGACATCTGGAGCCTTGACATGAAATTGTACAGCAGTGCCACTGATCTAGATAACGTCCAACTAATGGCCCTCTGACATCTAGAGCCTTGACATGGAATTGTACAGCAGTGCCACTGATCTAGATAACTTCCAACTAATGGACCTCTGACATCTGGAGCCTTGACATGGAATTGTACAGCAGTGCCACTGATCTAGATAACTTCCAACTAATGGACCTCTGACATCTGGAGCCTTGACATGGAATTGTACAGCAGTGCCACTGATCTAGATAACTTCCAACTAATGGACCTCTGACATCTGGAGCCTTAACATGGAATTGTATAGCAGTGCCACTGATCTAGATAACTAGACAGTGTAGATCTGTATGAGCAGCCTGTAGCTGGATTTATTCCAGTCTTATATAGTAAATTGTATGTATAGCCAAAACCTTTTTTTTTTCATTTTGTATAAAGTAAGGAAGATTTAAAACCACTGTCAGTTTATTTCTTGCTGTCCATGTTTGGTTGACATGGGTGATTATTTCCTGGAGACACAACAGGAAATGAGAGGAAATCTCTACAAAGTGAACGCTATTCTCCTTTTAGTTGTTACTGGGACAGGTGTTTCATTTGGAAGGTTTTCCTTCACCTGTTCTTATGGTAGCAACTCTAAAACTGTGGATTTTATCATTCTCTGTTCCAGTGACAGTGGCCACCAGGACAGATATGGAGCGAATGAATTTAGAAGGGACACAGAGAGCAATAACGGCATGGGATCAAATCCTTCCACACATTCTGTCTACACATGCACTTTAAATCCCTTTTAGAAAACGCACTGGGAAATACAGCATCTTTTGCAAAATGCTATGGTAGTCTGGTATGTTAATCACAGCTGAACTCAAGGCAGATATAAAGGACACAAATGAATGCAGCTCTGTATTCATTAATATATAATTAAATACAATTTTTTAATGGAAGTAGTGTAAGTACCTGAATTTCACCTGATATCAGACTCTTGAGGTCCCTGTACAGCAGGGCTGGAATGTGAAAGGGAGAAGCAGTACAAGGAGCCAATATGTTAATGAAAAGAAGCATGCTGATAGGAAGAGATAGCAGAGTGATATGAGCTAATCACTGTGCTGCTTCTCCTTTCACTTTCCAGTCACGGGAAGGGAGGGGTCCAGGATAATCTGGGCTCAGAGAAAGTGAGTTGAATGATGCTGGCCATTGAACTATGTACCTATAACAGTTGGAAAAAGTACTCCAGGGGAAATCTCTGGATTAATGTTGTACATTGCAGCAAAAGCTGCTTTATTATTTAAACTGTTAATGAGCTACTCATTTGTATGTTTTTTTGGGGGGGTTTTTGGCTGGATTTCGTATTTTTGATGTAGCCTTTTGTTTGTACACCGCTAATCCACTGATTCAGTGAGATCATGTTCCTAGGGATCAGAGACATTATGGATTTGGTTGTAGGTGGTTCTCTAGGTTAGTTTTTTTAATCAATAACATAAGGGAGGGGAGACATTCAAGTGACACTAAACTCAGGAGTTAAATCTTAAAAATGCATTCAAGTACCTTCACCATTAACACAAATTTATGTTATTTGTGTATCACTCGGCTGTAGATCCTCAAATCATCTCTGAATCGGTGCTGACACTGTCTTTCCTTCTGGAGGGGGGTTACTTTTGTTCCCCATGGTCCCTGTGTGTGTTGTAAAGTAGTCACCGCTCCAAGCTCGCTCCTGTGATGGACTATATTGTTGATATCGAATAATAAACTAAACATGAGATTGTAGTCCATCACTGGAGTGAGCTTGGAGAACCATGGAGATCAAAAGTAGCCACACTCCAGAAGGAAGGACCAATTCAGAGATGATTTGAGGATCTACAGCCGAGTGATACACAAGTAAGATACGTTTATGTTAATAAGGTACTTGAGTGTATTTTTAAGATTTAACTCCTGAGTTTAGTGTCACTTTAAAAATAAAAGTTGTCTGTCCTGAGCTGTATGAGCTGTAGTCTTTCTTGTGTGGCTCAGAAGTTGGGCATTAGGCACCGTGCAGCCTTGCCAGCATAGTTCATGCCATAGGACAGCCAGATAAATTCTGGGAACTGTGCGTGTATCCACAGACGCTCCTGTGTTCTGTGCACAGTTCCATTCCCCATACATTCTTTCAGCACTTTTAAAACAGTGCTGGGCTCATCTATATTATTAGCTACTAGAACAATGAGACCAAATCAACCTGATGCTTTTGGATTTCAAATAGTTTCTTGCTATATCAGAAGAAAAGCTTGAACTGGAAAACAATTCACGTGGCCCCTTGAAGCCCAGGCAAACCTACAGGCAGGGCAAGCTGTTATTGTTTATATTTTCTCCTCCTTATTGTATTGCTAAAAACTAATTTTATATGAAAAAATTGTCAAATTAACAAACCTAAAACAGAAATAATTCCCATAAGCAAAGACTTGAGAAAAGAATTAGAAGCCCACAGCATCAGGATCAGTGCTCTTAAGTGGGGATTTATTCATTCTGCCATAAAATCATGTTTAGGAAAATGTGTACATTTTAAAAGTGATATAAACCCTAAAGCAAAATTTACCGGGCTAGCCTAAAATTACAGTAAAAATCATCTCCATCGAGGCATTGCCAGTTATGTGATCGGAGAATGGGCAGGTCCTGCTCATGAGAAAAACAAGAAAAAAAACTCACTTAAAAATGCTTTTTAGTTCACTTATGTATTGCTTCCAAAGTCATAAAAAAATTGTTGATTCATCTGGTATAATAAATGTGAAATCAGTCTTTAATTAAATGATCATAGGGTGGGTATACCTGATCTGTATGGTGACAGTGAAGAGTGCAAGGTTCATAGGTGAGCTTAGAGGAGAGTTCAGGCTTAACGTCTGCAGTGTATATGATGTTCCCACACAAGTGGAATGGGTGTCAGCAGAGGTGGGGGATCTAAAAAAAAGTGCTATTTAGTCCTATGCTTTGTGGCCATATAGCAGAACCGGGGTAGCTGGATCACAGCTGAATACAGCATATCTGTATTACTTCATAAATCATCTGCAAATTAAAACAGTTCGTATTAATATTATCCAACCGTGTTTTTAGTTGTTTGGCTAGTTTAATCGTTTTTTTTAGGGCCCCTTCACACTTGTGTGTGCTTACAAGAGCACATGTATGCTGGGGCACACTGCACTGAGGCGACCTATTCATTTAAAAAATTGCATCTAACGCATTTCAGGTACATTTCAGGAACACAGTGTGCACAGTGCATTCCTAGTATGTGCTTTGGGGTGCACTCTAGAGCAGGTGCATTGACAGCTACTGTCTGTATGGTTTGAGGTACGATTCTAATAGGACCCCAATGCAGAAAGTGCCGTGCATTGAGGTAATGTATGGTAATAAGTGCGTTACTGCAATGCACAAGTGTGAAGCCAGCCTAAATGTAAAGCAGAAATTGCCTAATGAGTAATCCAAACTCCATTCACAAAGAGACAATTTCTATAATGGCAATAGCATGTCATACCCAGGGAAGGATGAGCATATGTTACAGCTGTCCGTTCATGTTAAAAATATGTGTACTTCATTTCAGCTTCTGCTTTCATTGTAGTATTGAGATATTTTTAATGCTGACAGGTCCACTTTAATGCCCACCCTGAGACTACTTAATGTATTCAGGTTACACAAGTACCCAGTAGCAGTAGTTACTACATATCCTCTTATTGCTACACCACTAAAATGAATTATATCCTATCTTCATAGATGAAAACATTTGTCAACCATCTTTGAACAAATGTCCACTGTAATAAATACATATACATATCAATGTTCATTCATCAGAAGGAGATGTCACATATACAGTTCCTTCAATCCAAGGGCTTTTGGACAGATCTTGGCACATGCAGTATGCAAGTAGTCCCAGGTAGTAATGTTTATAGTCAAACAGATGCGGATGTTTCTTTTCCTGCATCATATCAAATATCCTGGTCTTAGCTCACTGAGCGTGGAGTGTTCTCATTTTGATCTTGGTTCTCAGGCCCCGAAGATTGGTGAAGGAACTGCCCTGTGGCTCCAATGTAAAGTCTGGATCTCATGGGCCATTTCTGCAAGATAAACAGAAAACACATAAAAATCTAACTTACAGGTATGGAATGTCTCTTAGCACAGTCTAAGAACCTCACGGGCTCTGAAAAGCAGCTCAGATCCAATTCAAATACATTTTTCAACATGTAAATAGTTTGATATATGTATGGTATATCAACATTTAATTTGAGTGATATGCACCTCATCAACATCTGAAAACAGACCTGTCTACAGCATTTCAGATATATATCTACAAACATACATGAAAATGTGTGAAAGAAGGTCCAACAGTTTCCAAGTAATGCTCATCCACATCTAAGGGGGTTATTCACTAAGCTGCTGAAGGCAGTCGAGGGAATCACTGAGCCAAAGTGAAGGGAGCCAAACCTTGTTTGCCTATTCACTTCAGCCATGTAAGGCTTTTTTCAGCCGTACATCAACTGGCTTCAGCTCCCTTCACTTCCCTTCGGTTCAGCCGAACAGCCTCAGCATGTTCAGCTGAACCGAAGGGAAGACCCCATTTTCATCAGCCGATCCAACATCTGAATGGTAAACATTCGGCAGTTCAGTCCCTACTGTTCACCCCTATTATCATAGGGGCCGAACAGCAGAAAGTGAATAGCCACATGCTGCCGTGCAGCATTTGGCTCAGTCATTCTGTTTGCTACCTCAGAGGTAGCAAACAGAATGAAAAATGTTATTGAAACAAAACAAAAAAAGGTGTGAGGTGTGAACCATACCACACCCTTTGGTGTCTGGTAGGAATGTTAGGAGGTACCCGAGTTAAAAAAATGTGTGGGATTCCCCCCAAAAGTCATACCAGACCCTTTAGATTTGGTAGGATTTTTAAGGGGGACCCCATGCACAAAAATCGAAAACAAAACGTGGGGTCCCCCCTAACATTTCCAACCAGACCCTTATTTTGGGCACTGGCAGGAAAGGGGAGGGCGAGCGAGCATACCCCCTTCCCGGCCCAATACCAGGCCACATTCCCTCGGGCACTGGGAGGATGCAGATGGGGACAAGAGGCTCTTCCTCACAACCTTCTCCCGCTGGTTGTGGGTATCTGTGAGCAGGGGGACTTATCTGCATCTGGGTAACCCCCCCTGGGCCCCCCTTGTGGATGAGTAAGAGTTAGTTGTACACCTACTCATTCACTAAATGGTTAAAGAAAAACGTGAATAGCCCGTACAGCAGCCCCTCAGTTCGGCTGATCCGAAGGCTTCCCACAGCCGAAGCGAACCGAAGGATTAGCCGAAGGTTTGGCTTAATCCTTTGGCTCCTTTGTGCATAGCCCCCTAAGTCTCACATAAATAATGTTATTTGTGGAGCACAATAGCTCCATATGTTTTGAAACGCTGACAGTTGACTTTGGGGATCAGAATTCAGCCCTTTAGACTGTGTAGAAGTGCCTTAGTGGGTTTCAGACAGGACAATTCAAGTAAAAGAAGCCCATGGAAACTAAATTTAAGTTCACAAGAATATAGCTTGAAAATTCCTGCCATAAAAGTTTTCTAATTTCTAAATCTCTCATTATGTACATGAGATTGATTTATACTCTGTGCATATACATATATATATATATATATATATATATATACACATACATATATACACACACATACACACACTTAAATATATAAATGTATATATTTTCAGAGACAGCTGTGCACAAAAAAACACTTAGCCAGAAGAATCTGATACATTTCAACACATTTACATCTTAATTCGAGCAATGTATATCATTATGTTTATGATTCGGTCAGGCTATATGCGTCTTCTGTGTCTTACTATGTAGGATCCTTAATAAAGTACTACTTGTCTTTGCCATAATTTTAATTCCATGAACTGATCGTCTTGTTCTTCCTGCGGCTTGGGAGAAGGAGGCAGCATTACAGCTACGAGAGTTAGCAGTTTACTAGTTTTCTGTTATTTCCTATGCCCTCAAAATTAGCATGTAATTAGAATTTTGTAGAAAGGTGGTAAACATGTTTGTGCTCCCAAATTATGTAGTATTCTTTGACTCTAATTACGTGTTCTCTCCTGCCTGTAAGTTTGTGTATGCTTTGGCACTCCACACCAGACACCAAAGACGTGGCAGTCACAAGAACTGCAAATGAATAACGCAGTTAGAATAATGTGAAAGAAAAACCTCAAGCTTGCAGTATGTTTATGGGGATTCAATAAATCAGGGATTCCAAAAATACCAAACAACTCGTATACTATCAACAATTTTCAAGCATGTTCCTAAGTGAAATAATTTGCGTTACAGATAACACAACTATTTTTATCAGGTACCATTTTCTCCTTTATTTCTATTATTTCAGTACCTTAATGTATTGAAAATACACAGCAATAACACCAACATCACTGATTTAGTATATGCAGTTTGGAGGGCAAAGCTGTACTGTATGTAAAACAATGCCGATACACCCGATTGTGGGGGTTACGACCCACAGGTTGAGAACCCTGTTGTAACAAACAAAACCAACTGGCCCTTTCATGACAGGGACTGTTTCAAATTCCTGTGGGCTTAAGAATGTGCACCACAAAAAGTCACGGCGTCTCAGTGATTGGTGGCCAATAGGAGTGCCATGTGTAGAAATAAATCTGTCGGGAAGTAGAATTACACACCTTAGAGATAGTAGACCCCCATGGCCTGTAAAAGCTATTAAAGCGTCGGTGATGGACAACTTTGGGTATTTGGTTTTTACCCTGTTTCACGGGAGCGCACAATTGTAAAGCTTGACATGTTTGGTATCTATTTATTCAACACAAGCTCTTATATTTTACCAAGAAATGGGTATTATATTGTGCCTGTGTTCACAAAAATACACTTGAGTGTATTTTTTTTCTGAAAATCTGCGCTTGATAAACAGTTGCGCTAATATCGTGCGACATAAAAAAGTGCAACTGCCACCATTTTAATTTACGCTTTGCTTTTCATAAATATATAGTGTTATGCGGGTTTTATGTACTAAATGTAAATACATAAAAATAGAAGAAAAAAAGGCGATAAAGTAAAAAAATAAATAATGAAAAGAAATATTACAAAGCAAAAACAAAAGTTAAATAAAATCTAAAAAATTAAAACCAATCCCTATCATCTGCATGCGAATAAAGGCATGCACAGGGGCATTGTGTGAGTGGAGTGGGCGATCCGTTACCACACGGCAATCGTGCACAAAACCGTGTGGATGGCCGGGCGGTCACAGAATCTCACACCACCGCCGATAACGCTGGCAGTGCCATTATTGTCTAACAGCACCCCAGTTGCACAAGGCAGATTGCGCAGTTTCCCGCCGCAATAACGCCCGTGCAAATGCACATAATCTCAATTGAAAACATTCCGAGTTTACCACGCGGATGTAACCCCATTGAAATCAATGAGGCCGCGAGGCAACCGTACACTGCCTCGCCCAAGTCTGCACTCTCCCCAAACGGTAGATTCACTTTTCCAAGTAATTTGGAAACATGGAATTACCCGCACAAATCTGGTCCAGACGCCATCCTCCCTCCGCTATACTTACCTTTCAGGGAACGGTCCTTCCCATCCGCCAGTATGGGTGTACTATCTGTACCTGTGCCATTGTAATCTGAATTTCGCTCTCAAAATTCAAGCACTCGTTGGTCAGCGCAGTCATCTGACGGCACTGACCAATGAGAAGCTCTTCTTGGCATTGCTAAATACGGTTATGGTTAAAATTTTTTCTTTTTTTGTATCAGGACAAGTAGATTTTCATGAGGGACAAGTAGATCAGGCCCCCGCTTTAGTCCTTGGACAAGTAGTTTTTTAAAAAATTTCCACACCCCCTGACTCTACAAGCCTAGAATGTGCATTTTAACAAGTGTGCAAAAAAAAAAAAGAAGCTCTGGCAGGTAAAGGGTTAATGGTGATGTCATTATTCTGAGTATTCATGGGTATAGTGTCAGCAACCATCAGAGGGATTTGAACCTGGGAAACCACCATTGGAAGGCAGAAGCCCTAACCACTATACTACCATACTAGTCTATAGGGTCAGAATGAGATGTTGTGACAGGCATTGTACTAGTGCAGGGGTAGGTCATATCAGCACTCACCCCATGTAGAAACTTCAATTGCCATCATGCGTCTGCCTGGAAATATACAGTTTTGTTGGCTTGAAATAATTCCCAGGCCTAAAATGTGGCTTTGAATATGTGTGCAAAAAAACAAAAAAGAATGGCTGTGGCAGCAAAAGGGGTAATGATAATGATCAAAAGAACAGGGAACATTGGGATAGAGGCTTGTGGCAGCTATAACCCCCCGTCCAGGGGCCTAGTATGATACGATCTCCTGAGGCTATTGATATTTGGAATCTTTAGACCTTGATCATCAATCCACATCCACTAGGGTAACCTCAGAAAGGCTGGTTGCCAACCAGAGCCTCACCTCTCCCTATGTTCCACAGCCACCTAGTATCCCTCATCTGTATTTATATCACACGGACTACAGACATTTCCAAGTTATGGAGAGATAAATCATTGACAGCATTAAAAATCATGATTATTAGCTGCTATATGACTTTCATATCCCACTGACCACTAAAAATCGTCCAACAAACTGAAAAATTAAAGCTATATCAACAGCGAGACGACGCAGCACATTACCCAGAATGCCGTTCCATATTTATTATTCAAATTTTGTTTGTGAGTGATAGTTCAGGCAACCAATGGCAAGCATGGCTGAGAGCTGGGAAAGACAGTTGACAACTCCAGTGGCAGTTGGCCTACCCCGATTGTACATGGAGCAACCAGGGGAAGGTTATGTTTGTCCCTATGAAGCACTGGTGTGCACTCTGCTGCCCTCCATTGTTGTTTAGAGCAGGACAGGGGGAGGAGACCCTACCTCCCCCCATGGCAATCTCCTGCAGGAAGGGACAGAGGAAGAAGAATGGGATAGCAGATAGTTTCCAGTGACTGACAGCCGGCGGGGGTGATAAGAAATCTCCCAATGGGGACACTAGTTCTGGTGATCCTGCTGACCACCATGGATTTCCCT